ACTCCGAGCCAAAATGACGAAGGTTGGCTTGGAGCCTAGGATCGTGAAAAGGGCTAGTAGCTTTTTGCTCGGTAAGACTGTGGTTAACAGCGCATATTCTGAAAGTATACCTGCTCCTAGGGACCACGGGACTAAGCTCTCGCCCATACTTTTCAATTTATATGTTTATGCATATGATGTTCCAGTAATTAGGCTGAAATCGAAGTTAAATGTAAGGCTTTTGGCGGTCGGCATAAAAACTTGTGCTCAGATTGACGATGACGGTGGTGTTTCCAAAATTAGTAAGGCAATCAATGCTTTAAGTAATATGGTTCGAGGATTGCAGGCTTCCTCTCTGCCAAGAGAAGGCCAAAGTGTTGCATGTCGGTCCTAATAATGGGTTCCCCTACAGTCTGAATGGTATCCAGCTTGAGCCAGTATCGACAACGGTGCACTTTGGCTTTCATGTCAATGAAAGGCTTGATTTCTCCATATTGTAGAACTGTTGCGAATGTTGATCAGCGTATATTTCAAAATCTGTTTGAAGACCTTTCTCTACAGTTCCCCATATACCGCTTGCCGCTTACAGAATTATGTTGGGCCTATTTTGGTTTAGTCGATATTCTCGGCAAAGCTTTAATTCGTGGAGGTGATTCGCCTGATCAGTCGTTGTGCGCTTATATGCGCACGAGCTTTCATTTCGACTGATGACGAATGTACAATTCGAGACCAAAGTAGGCTAAAGTCAAGACATGTGGAAGATGATTAAGCTAAGAAAAGGCTATTGCAGGAATCATATGGCAAAATGAGATATGACTCATGTGAAATTATGGCAAAATGAGAAATGACTAGAGTGAAATTATTCGGAAATTTTATCGGTCAGATGAACTTGGGGTATAAAACTGCTGTGTTCAGTTCGTCCGCGCCTTTGCTTCAAGTGACTTGAGGCAGTTCAGAACAGCTTTACGTGCAAGCTATTCTTCGTTGTCTCGATTTTTCCTTCTTAACGGTGCTGGACTCGCCTTCCCTTGACATACTTCTTGGCTTGAGGATTCTTCCCTTGGAAACGAAAGTCGGTGACATCGCGATGGTCAACAAAATGCTAACGACGTCTATCACCAGGGAAGTATAATGAAATTGAATTTTGCGACAGCTCGCAGTGGACGTCATTTCTTCTTTAATAGAGCTGGTCCTATATTGGTTTGGATAAACGCGAACCGCTCCCAACCTCACCCAGGACTCTTGAGTCCTATCTTAATCGTGTACTTAAATGACGCCTATGGGAACCAGTTTAGACCCAATTTATTCTATGTCAGCTACTCGCTCCAGTCATTGAACTATCGGTAGTCCCTTTCATTTGTGCTGACCATCGTTAGTTGTTCTCTTTGCGGGTTGCTCCTGCTGATCACTTTTTACTTTTTTGTCGTTTTAACGTCGCCCCGATGGCGACGTAAGTGCTCAGTCATGTAATGAAATAAAGGTAACTAAAATGAGACTTGTACAGGTGGTATTTTTACCTCAGGAGGCTCAACCAGTCGCTATTTGCTTGCTACCTTCTACCGTGACTGAAAGCGTTCAGCAGAAATGAACCTTTGCTTTTTTTCATCATGCAAGCGCCTATGAAGTATGCAAAAACCATCCAGAAAAGGCGCCATAGCCTGAAGAATCCCCTCGTTAGTCCAGTTCTTTTCCGGCTTGCTGGCGGATTCAACAATTCACAGTGTGAAGTGCCTACTAAAACTCGGAGAGCATCTAGGAGACATTCATCTGAACATGTTCATTTAGTGTCTGTTTTTCCAAAAGAACTTGATGTTCTACCCGGTTTAAAAGTATGCGACTATGCAGATTGATCTGAATAGTTTTGTCCGCGGCCAGTCTAAAAATAATCCCGTTGATGTGGTGCACTCTTTTACTGACGCATTTGATAAAGTTTCTCATGGGCTACTACGAGCCAAAATGACAAAGGTTCCCTGGGAGCCTATAACCGTGAAGTGTACTAGTTAACTTTTGCTCGGTGGGACTTTTCGGGCAGGGTCCACAGCGCATCTTCTCAGAGTATGCCTGCTCCCAGTGGTGTCCCGCAGGGCTCAGTTCTCGTCTATACTTTCTAATATATATTTATACATTTGATGTTCCAGTAATCATGTATATATGCTACACTTTATTTCAGAGTGCAGGCATGAGTCAGAAAGCAGACATGGGCATCTATTAGGTTGTCCGGAAAGTTCTCAGCGTTTTGTGCACCTATTCTTTGTACATTCACTGCTGATTAAAAACTCATTCTGCCTTGCTTCTCACCAGGAAGGTCGTTCAGGGCGTGCCCCGCTTTTTCGAAACGGTTTATTGCACTCTGTAGGGCCTTGCCCATGAACCATAAAAGTGGGCTTCGTTTTTGCTGTGCGGCTCCAGGAACGCCAAAAAAGGAGCGAAAAAGAAACCTATGGAAACTGAGTGTTTTGATGAGCCTCTGACTTGTATTAACCGCAAACTTTTACGCAGTTGTTGAATGGAGGACCCATAAAGCGCCTGATGCGGAATCGAAGAGAAAAGTATTGGGTATGGAGGTCTTACTTGTGGCACGTTTATCAAACCAATGGAACCGGCGTTTCATGAATGGTTTCTTCACGATCGAGGAATGTTAGGGCAACAACGATCGGATGGCCTAGTGGATAGCGTGAAGGAATCTCAAGCGGACAGTTGGGGTGGGGTTGATGGTTCGACTCCCCTCGGCGTGCGAGTTTTTGCATTTTTTATGTTTTGCTGTTTTCGCGTTCAAATATGTCTGTGCGTGAGTATGCGTTCGATAACTGCCATTTATGGGCACATTTTAAATGGGAACACTCCATGAATCAGTGCTATTCAATTATTACAGGTTTTACATACCATTAAGCAAGACCGTAATTGAAAGTTGACCTTTATAGGTCAGACCATGCCCGAATCACGAATATGGAACTTATTTGTAGCCCGCCTGGTAACCATTTATCGCTAATGCGGAAGTGACATGCTCCAGACGCCAATGAAATTCGTTTGCGTACACAAAATAAGGGATGTTGCGACGCCAATTCAGCGGCCCAATTACGCTTCGGCGCCGGAAATAAGTGTGAAATTCATATGATAGGCCATCGATTATCCTGTAAACAATCTTCAGAGACCCAAAATTTTTTTTCGACTCAGCCAAAAAAATTTTTTCGACTTTTTTGGGTGTGTGCGTTGGGTTGTGCCCGACAGTCTTTCTATAGAAGTCTACAGTGCCTCGCCATAGGGACCCCCTATTTTATTAATATCCAAAGATAAAAGTAACAATGCCGATGAAATTCATGCAAAGAGGAAGGGAAGGGAGGCATTCCACCAGGTTTGCTGTCCTGCCCGGCGGCCTGCTACGTCGTCGTTCCATCATCGTCTTTACGAAGATGGGATACTCCGGTCACCACTGCCGACCAAATGGTCAATAATCCAAAACCCAAAAAATCGAAAAAACTTTTTTTGGCTAGAAGTTCGTCCATAAGGGTAGTCGATGGTCCTGATTACGATTTTGACACTTATTTTCGACGTCGACGCAATTTGGCGCCAGTATAGCGCTTAACGTCCCTCATATGGGGGTACATAGACGTACCTTTCGCTCCTTTTTTGGCGTTCCTGGGCCGCTCAGCCAAAACGAAGCCCACTTTTATGGTTCATGGGCAAGGCCCTACAAAGTGCAATAAACCGTTTCGAAAAAGCGGGGCACGCCCTGAACGACCTCCCTTGTCAGTAGCACATCCTGTAGAGAATTTCTTGCGCTATCTGATGGTATAATTGCCGTTTCACCATTGCTTGATAAACCCCCTTTTTTCAAGATTTTTTCAAGCATGTGAAAAGAGCACTTCGGACGATTTTTTTCTTCGACTATAAATTGGGGCAATCCGCAATCGAAACAGCTCAACAAATTAACCAGGTGTGGGGGCCCAATAGTGCTAGAGAAAGCACTGTGCGGCAATGGCTCAACAAATTTCGTTCTGGAGATTTCAGCCTTGAAGATGAACCTCATAGCGGTCGACCTAAAGCAATATCTGACGAGGATTTTAGGGGGATTTTGGAGGCTGACCCATCCCAAACAGTTCGAGAGATAGCAGAAGAGCTAGGCCTTGGCAAATCCACTGTTGCAGATGGTCTGGAACGCATTGGGAAGGTGAAAAAACTCGACAATTGGGTGCCCCACAATCGGAGTGACCGGCAGGAATCGGCACGTCTCGAGGTTCCTTCTGCATTGCTTTTGCGCAGCAGAAACGACCTGTTTTGGACCGAATTGTCACCTGTGATGAAAAATGGATCATTATGATATTATGATAACAGGAGGCGTTCCGGACAGTGGTTGGATTTCGACGAACCACCGAGGTAATTTTCAAAGCCGAACCCCTCACGAAAAAAAGATTCTGGTCATGGGCTGGTGTGATCCACTATAACTTTTTATCACCAGGCCAAACCATCACAGCAGAACCCTACTGTGAAGAAATCGACGAATTGTACCGAAAATTTTGTCAGATGCAGCCAACACTTATCAAAAGAAAGTCCGATTCCTTTGCATGACAACGCCCGCCCACACGTTTCACAAATCACTATCCATAAATTGAACGAATTGGGGGTTGAAGTTCTACCTCAACCGCCATATTCTTCAGACCTTTCGCCAACCGACTATCACCTTTTCTAACATTTTCAGAACTCCCTTGCTGGAAAATACTTCATCAATCAGGACCAGGCAAATTCTCGACCACCCAGTTTTTTATTTTGATGGAATTTCTCGACTGCTGTCACATTGGCAAAAGTGTGCTGATTCGAATGGTGCCTATTTCGATTAAATCCGATGAGTATTAAAAAGTTACGATCGTTTAAAGTGAAACACCCAAAACGCTGAGAACTTTCCGGACAACCTAATAATACTAATTGCACGGCTTTTTTTGCCTGTGCATCGGTTATATGTCATCTTTTCAAACTGGTTTCGTTTCTGTACCGTTATAATCCCATAACTTTCCCATTATCCAGAAATGTTCCTGTACTCATTGGTGTTCTTTCCGTTGGCAGTTGCTACTCTCATACCTAGAGAACTTCTTTTTTCTAGTCAGAAATACACAAATGTCAAGCTCAGTCCCAATGGAACGTGAGTTGTTTCAGCTTTTCTGTCACAGAGAGGTTTTTTCAATTCTGGAAAGTTGTTGGACTCTCATAGAAAATACCTAGGTATGTTGCCTACATAGCGTCTGACCAGAACAAAGTGAAGAATGTGTTTGTCAAATGCACCAAATGTAAAAATGCCCGGCAAGTGACATTTGAGAAGAGTAATGATGTTCACGGTGAGGTTTCTATCGATTCTTTCATTAATATCCCATTCGTTTTGGCGAAGATTGTCAAATGGGGCAACATAGCGTTAAGGATAGAGGACCGATGCATGCTGTTGGCTTGCCGATATAACCTCGTCATCCGGGCAGTTGATTAGGGCGGTCGTCAACGGGCCGCAGCGCGTGCCAGGAACTATTTGCTTTTCCAGGCTAATTTAGTCATTTTTTCCACCTTGTGAAGATAAGGAGCTGCTAATCTTGGAAAAAGTAGCCAAAACAGTGAAAAGTTGGAAAAAATGACTAAATTAGCCTGGAAAAAGCAAATAGTTCCTGGCACGCGCTGCGGCCCGTTGACGACCGCCCTAATCAACTGCCCGGATGACGAGGGGTAATTAAAGGGCACTATTTACCCTTTCCTGCCTCAGCCATCCAGAATTGAGCCAGTTTTTGACCGACTTTTTTCTCCGTGGACAGATTTGCCTTAAATGTTGGCTCCTGGGGATAGTTTGACCTACTGAGTACGAATATCGGCATCCGCTAGCCCGAAACTTACTGGCGCCCGCGCCACAGGCGCCGGTGATTTGCGGTTTGGCGCCAGCGTCCGTAGCTCGGGCAGTAGGAGGTTTCAGATCGAGCGGATATGATATTCGATTTACAGTATTTTGGCGCCGGCGCCTGTGGCGCGGGGGGAGGCCGCCCAGTGCCGCCGAGGTTTCCTGCCGAGCGGATGTGATATTCATATTTAGCAGGTGAAACTACCCCAGGGTAAAAATTTTCAGCCAATTCTGCCAACGTAGAAAAAAGTCGGTCGCAAACTGGGCTCTTTTTGGAAGATTGGGGCAGTGAAGGGTAAATAGTGCCATTAAAGGTAATGTACACATTTTGTTGAATTTGGATCAGGGTAACTTGTATTGGGTCAGGTTTTGTGCGTCAGTGAATAATGTTGCTATTAAGACTACGAGTGGACTGGTGTAAAAAATGTGATTATCTACCAGTATGACAACGATGGCGACGAAAACTGGAAGCTGTTCAAGAAGAATATATCCGAGGTTAGTTCCCTGAGTTTTGGGTTGAGCGCAAAGTGTCGCGACACAGTTATTCTGGCGACGATTTTTCATCACTGAAATACGCTTCGACCACTCAATCCCCACTGCTTACGATCACCTCCACCTACAGATATATAGGAATGGATTAGCCAAAGATCAATTATAAACCGAGCTATCCAGAGCTTTTCTTCAACATGAGCGCGAACATTGTGGAACAGGAGAAGAATGCCCGTCAGAAACATATCATGAAGGAGGCTCCAGGGCTGGGACTGACCCCAGTTCTTGTCCTCATGCTGAGAAGATAGGAGGTGGCGAATAGCGCAAAGCGTGAGGTAAGGGTCCGGATCGCTCTTGTGGTCGAGACTTCTGCCCATTGAGGAGTCTTGATAGTACTCACAGCGATGTGCAGCATCAAGCAGCAGTTAGCATTCATAATAACAGCCATGTAAGGAAAAAGTGAGTAAATAAATAAATGGATAAACGTGCAAGTGTTTGCAGGCAGAAATGGCTGCTCATCCGGAAAAAAGGACGGTGATTTCTGACGATAAAACTGTGCAAGCTAAAATTATCGCAAATAACCACAAGGATTCACGAATATTGATCGGATTGAACGACGAGACTCCTGCGTGAGTTGCTTATTGAAGACTTTATATCACAATATAATAAGCTTTTGCCTCGTTGACCCTCCATCGGCTTGTTCAGCTGTGGGATATCGCCACAAGACAATGTTTTTTCAGTTAAAGGTGAAGTTTTTTAATTGTTATCAGCATGGGTCGGTCGATTCGCGTACCGATGAAAGAGTTATTTACCAAATGAGGTGATATAGTGGTAAGTGGCACGTTTACCACGCGCACCAGTCTGGGAATCAGGTCGTGGATTGGCTCCGCCTAAACGAGCCAACCAAGTCTTCTATCCTTCGGTGACGGCAAATTGGTACTAAACTAGTCGAGGAGTATAGAAACACTGATTTGTATCGGCTCGCCTTCCCCCCCCCCCCCCCCTCCTGTAGTATACGCCACATCGCAGTCAATCAGCCACTACGATCGTGAATGAACAAAGATGCGTGCCGCGTCTCACAACGGGGTCACAACGGCAAAGACTTTTTGTCTTTTCTTCCATGTCCTTATGTGAGCTGAGTTC